AGAAGATATATAAATAAAGGACAGCGTCACAACGGGGCTGTAATTGATGGGATATTTCGAAAATGCCTTGCGAAATTTAAAACAGGGGATTCCTCTTTGGAGAATGACTCTCGCGCTCGCATAAATCTTCCGCTATTCAAGACGATGATGTAGCGTTAATTATACTACTGACGTAGTGATAGCTGAAATATTAAAGATCTCAGAAACGAACTTCTGATTCAACCTGATAATGTAACGTGATGGAATTATATAACTGAAAGGAAGAAGAAATTTCTCAAATTGAAAAATTGTTCAGCAGACCTACTCCCTTGTCGCGGCATTGCGATGAAAACGATTTGAAAATATTCTCGACAATCGAAGAAAGCTGCTGTATTAAGAATGCAGCTTCACATTTGGATAATTTTACTAAACTAAAAAACGAAACGAAAAGAAAAACATTAAGAATCAGGTAGTATTTTAAACGTGCAATAAATCTATAATGATTCTGTTGCAAAACCATCGTCTTCGTTACTTATTACATCAAGTGAAAGATCACATTTTGTTTCAATAAAATTGAACATGTTGCAAACTTCTGGATTTTTCTTCTCTGAACGATGGGGAACACGTTACGGCGCGTTTAGAACCTAACTAATGCTCGTTCGCTTCTCACTTCGATCAAATTCACGTTCGATTATTACGCTAAACAAGTATTAATGCTCGTTTATTACGCTAAACGATACGAATACCAGCGCGAATTCGATCCAAATGGAAAGCGTCCGTCCATTCGGTCTGAACGCGCCATTATGCTAATAACTGCTCGAGACAACGTCGTACTCTACAATAACGATAACGATCATTCCCTCGCTATCATTCTTACGACGCACAATACGTTAAATTATACGCGACACTCGATCAACCGGAACGAAGGAGAGCTCGATGATCGTCGATCTCGCGATGACGATGACGATGACGAGTCGTCGTTCATCAACTCGGTTTCCGTCCTTTCGCACGTTTCTCTTTTTAAATTTTCCTCGCAAATTCGCATTTTTCTGACACGATAAGATGAAGCGGCCAGGAGGAAAAGTGAATTAACCGTCGAAGGACAGGGGAAAAAGAAGAAAAAGGGAAATAGAAAAAAAAGAAGCAAAGTTGGCAAACGAGGTTTACCCAACTGCGTCCTTGATGAACGATAGCAACGCCATTTTATCCTCGTAGGAGATACGGGGGTTGTCCGAGAATTCCGTGCAAAAAGCACCATTTTTCTTTTTTCTTTTTTTTTTTTATCAAATTTATTTCCCATTTCTTACTTCACTTCGATTGTTTAATTCCATCCGTATAATACGAAATATTTAATGCTTTCGTCGTTCGATGCAGAGATTTTGCAAAAATTTGTGCATCGAATGATAAAGAGATTGCTGAAATAAACGCTTATTTTGCAGAATTAAACGTTGTAATACGGATTAAAAACTTGGGAAGACATTGTAGAAAGATAAAAAGTAACTACGTTGAAAAATAAATTTAATTTTCTCCCTCCTTCCCCCCCAAAAAAAAGAAAAAAAAGAACGATGCCTCCTTTATTTTTGCACGAAAATGCGGACGGAAGCGCGACGAACGCTTTTGTTCCTCGTGTAACTCGTTGTCCGTCGAAACGTTAAGTCAATTACGCCAAAGCTCGAATCTCGAGAACACTTTGACGCAGCTCGTGCAAACTCGCGGATCGAAGTTTTAATTTCAATTTATTACTACGCTTCTTTTACAACGATCGCATAATGCAATTTGAGAAAAGGGAAAGGATCTTCGATCTAGAGTAATTGAATGATCGCAATAATGATCAGAACGATGCACGATATTAGATATTGAAATGAGGACTCAGGCAAGCGGAGAAATTGATTTTCTAAATTATTGACGATCGAATTAAGGAAAGAGGTCCAAGTATGATTACTGTGTTCAATGGCCAACCTACAGGATTTTGCAATGGGATCAGTCCAATTAAACCCAGAGTAAGGAAGAGAGCAAATAGAAAAGAGGAAATTTCCTGACCGGATGTGGCGGTACAATGCAAATTAACTGCACTTAAATGGGGCACAACTGGCTATACCTTCGAGAATTTAAACAAGACCAGGTTATGCGTGTTTCTTCTATTTTCCGGTGAGCGAAGTTTAGAACGATCCATTATCGGTCTATAATTGTGGTCATCGGATGACAAGAGTAGCGTGACCATGTCGATTGAATGAATAATGAACACTTAAGCTGTGACCTTTTCTCTACGAACGAACGCTAATCCTCTTTCGGAGGATTCAGGCTTGTTCAATTTTTACAAACATTTCATTTGCACTCTTCAATGGCGAAGTCTGGACAGGGAGAGGATATAGATTCTGACTCGACGCATTTAAATCTGGATGTGTAGATTAAAAAGTGAAGACAAGATCTAAGTCGAATGATGGGAGCATCAAAGTTAATTAATTTCAATAACTTAGAGTTATTCAGGACGTTGATTGATAACTTTATAAAGAAAATCAATGGCATTCATACTTCTCTACTAAGCGAGAGAAAAAAATCAAATCTAACATCTTCTTCAAGATGTCAAAGCGCTTCATGATTCAGATGGAATCATAATTATGCTCGAAGCATGACATAGGGCATCCACGTTTGAACGTACAAGTATCCTCAGAAATCTGTACTAGACTCGTTCTAAATGTAAAACGCTGATATATCAAAAATAATGCGTTTACGAATTACTCTATTTCAACTGCATACTGCGTACTGTTTTTCAATGCTGTTGCGACACTCATTTAATACTATTTCAAGTATCAAGATAGCAAGGTTCTTCCCAACTATCGTTGTCTGAAAATTGCCAAACGTGTCGCAGACGATCTCGTTGTCTGATAGGCATGGAACGGTATCTGATATGGCGATATCCCGCGAGGTGGGACACGAGGAGGCCTCGCAAGCCTCCCGTTTAATTGCTTTATCGAACATCAAACTATCCGTGAGAGGGTAGCCGCAAATGTGTTTGCCTATATTCGCGTGCACGAGGGTTTAACGTGGTGTGTTCGGCCCGGGGGATGGGAGGGGTGTGCGACAGGTCGCGTTTTGCCAACCTGCCCGGAAATCCTCTGGCTCGATAGGTCGAGAATTCGCCGATGGCGCGGACGTGCATGTATGCGTGTTTAACGCCAGTGCCATTAGCTTTGATGTGGATACCCTGCGACAAGGACAATCGCCGTTTAAAAGTAACGTCGCGTGTTTAACGCCTCCACGCTGGCTCGAATCTTGGTTACTCGTTTATTACGTGCTACGACGAAACACACAGCTGACGATCAATGCCTCTAGTTTCGTGCTTTTCCTTCCTTTTTTTCTTTTTTGAGAAAAACGAGTGTCGAGAAGAACTTCTCTCCGCGTTGACTTTGTCATGTCAGGTCGACAGACAGAGCGGACGAGCGGAAATTACAATCGATACCAGCCGGTTGCGCGCCGTGTTTTATCGCGTTTGTGCGGCCGAGCATCGATCGGCGACCTTGACACAGTAGAAAATTACGCATTCGGCGGAAAGCGAAAACCGAAAGTCGACTACCCTCTCAGGACGTGTTTCCTTTCCTTTTTTTTTTTTTTTTTTACTACACTTGTCCGACGAGAGAGAACTACGTACGGTAGTAGACAGAGGAATAAAGACCGGTTCCGTGCGAACGAAGAATAATATGGTGGAGAATCGTGTGTGCAAATACGTGCATAGTAACCGTGTAAATGAATCCGGACCTCGATTCATGTAATTGAAGGATTTGCGGCAAGAAGAAGGCAACTCCATTTTTTTACACACTTTTTGTTACACATCCTACTTTATTAAAAGAGAACTCACTTGGCGGAAAAGGAGGTTAGTCCTTTGACATGAATGTTGACCTGACCATCAAATTGTAGCACACTTGAGACGGTGATATTTAATTTGTCGGTTCGTTTACTATAATTGTCTTATATAAGGCCCCGACACTGTATACAATCTTGCTTAAATCGTCATTCGGCTAAGAGATTAAAACAATGATTTCTATTTGTGTCTTGTTTGCGGGTTGCGAAACATATAAAAAGAACGGAAATTTCCACACGCTTCTATGGAACATAGAGTGCACAGCGTCGTTCGATCGGAAACAGTTGGAGCGGAGGGAATCGTTTGGCTTCGCGTCGACCTTTGACCGATATCCTTTGCAAAACACGCGCCAGCACGCTGGCGAACCTCGGCGGTTGCTATTTTCCTTTCGCGTCGCTTCCGCCAATCGGACCGATGTTATCAAAAACTGAAATCTCTCGAATGTTTCGCAACCGATTGAAAACAGATGGAAACGAGCAGGTACGGTATCCGGTTACGGAGAAATATCGTTATCGTTCCGATATAAATTCTCGACCATCGATCTAACTAAACGGACGCACCAACGATCTTTCTCCCGTCCCGGTTATCACTGATTCGTCGTCATCCACCAAAGTCGCGTGTACGAACGATCGCGCGAATCGGCGAAGCTCGATCGTGCTTTGACAACCTTTCATCTAATACTGAATTCTCTTCGGGTCTTCTCGCTTGCCGGAGAGAGACCTGTTCGATCGGCGAGTGAGAAACGCAACCGGGTTTCGACCAGTTTGTGCAGCCAATTTTTCTTTGGGAACGTGCCATATCCTGCCTTATTCCCGGCAACGGCGATATTTCAGCAACGGAGGGGAGTGGGGGGGAGGGGGGAGGGGGGGGGGGAAGCATGCGATGTTCTCCCCCAGCAACGTTGCCGAGATTACGGGCAAACGAATCGATCGATGGAAAAAAGTGGCGCGTTTGTTCGAAGCGGCAGTGAAAAACCAAAACATTTTTCATCCCGGCCTCGGTCGAACGGTGCCTCGTTCTCGTTTTTCTTTTTTTTTTTCTTCTTCTTTCTTTCTCTGGACGTCCGGCGAACGAGCGAGCGCGCGTTCGAATCGAGACGAATCCAATAACCGGATAACGCAAATTCACGAAAAAGAAAAAAAAAAAAAATTTAAGCTTCGTAATGGTTCTGTTCGAAGGAGGCACGCGTGGCGCCGAGTGTCCAGAGGACAGCGTCCGAGAGGAGAGCGGCGAGTGCAAATGCGCGGCCATCGACTGTCCATCGGTCGAATGCCAGGGGGGTCAACGTCCGATCCAGGTGAAGCCAGCGGACCCTGAAACGCCGGGTAGCTGTTGCGCCCGTTACGAGTGCGTGCCCGCAGGTAAGAGAGAATCGAATCGAACGCAATGCGACGCTGCGTCAAACGCGCGAGCGAACTTTATGCTCAAGGTTGTGTTGTTTTGTTCCCGCCGAAGACCCTCGAGGATCGTCGGAACCGTGTCCCGAGAACAGCGTGCTCACCGAGGATGGGAAATGCGAATGCGCGCCCTGCCCGCCGGTCAACTGCCAACCTGGACACCGTTCTGTTCAAGTGACCGCTGCCCTCGACCGCGAGACGCCCGGCAGCTGTTGCCCTCTCTACGAGTGTAGACCGGCTGGTAATCTTTTTCTTCTTTTTCTACTTTTCCTGCCACTTCGTTGTGAAATTAAAACAAAAAAAGAACGAGGCTAGATTTCGAATGTAGAGCGCGTACTTCTGATGATGATCGAGCGATAATGACGAGTGTAGATTGACTGGCAGTCTTTCTCTTCTTCTTCTGTCTGTGTCATCTAATCGGGAGATTCAAAAAACGCGGCTAAATTTCAAATGTAGAGCGAGTTTCCGCGAACAGTCGATAACGATGGGATTTTCATTTGGAATTGTGTGTCGAGCAATAATGACGAGTGTAGATTGGCTGACAATCTTTCTCTTCTTCTGTCTGTGTCATCTAATGGCGAGATTCAAAAAACGCGGCTAAATTTCAAATGTAGAGCGCGAACAGTCGATAACGATGGGATTTTCATTTGGAAATGTGTGTCGAGCAATAATGACGAGTGTAGATTGGCTGACAATCTTTCTCTTCTTCTGTCTGTGTCATCTAATTGCGAGATTCGGAAAACGGCGAAATTGTAATACTATGAGCTACTTTATTTTCTCGCATAACGAGTATACTCGTCGTTATCCAAAAAATGGCCAATCTGCTCGTGGCGATTAATATAAATCATCAAACGCTTATTAAAAGGTTCACGTTGAATTCGATCTTATTCTCACGAACGCGTCATCGATACCTGCGCGCAAATACGACGATCACGCTCGAGCCTCGATAGCATCCGTTTCGAAATTTAATTACGAGATTCTCGCGGGACGCTACCTCGGGCAACCAACAGAACCGCTGGCGTAATGGCCGTTTATCTCCCTTGGAAACGCGATTCTATTCGTCGATACGCCGAAACGAACGAGCACGATTTATCGTCGATCGCAACCGTTCATTTTCGTCTCCCGCGGAGATGGCAAAGAACGAGTTGTTTTCCTTAAGGCACCCACACACGTTGAAACATGCGGATATTTAATTTTGTCTTTAAATATACTTCTTCATAAATAGCAATAGACATTTCAAGAATCAATAATTGAGGTGAAATTGCAGTTATTAAATTTTAAGTCTTTCCTGTTACTGAAAACCTTAGTGTTGCAGATAGTTTCTTCTCTGCGTTCACGGCTGTATTTAGTTTTTCAATCCTTGGGCGAATTTTACTCGACAGATAATGAAAATCAAAGTCATTCACCACGCGGATGATTTCTGTAATTCAGCCTCAGCTCTTTCAACAATATCGGATTGGAAAATCGTTTGTTTTTTAGCATTTAATTCTTTATCTTTTATATTACACTCCTACTATCGATAGCGATACTGGGGTTGGAAAATGATCTAACAATTTGAAGCACAAGCGTGGCGTCACGTGACAAATTGAAAGAATCGGTAGTGCGGAGGCATACTGATTCTGACGCAGATTCCATGAAACCTAGGACGCGTGTTTCAACGTGTGTGGGAGGGAGGCATTTACAGGTAATAGTATACAACGACGCGCGTTTGTATTTGCTTCGCAGAGTCCGTCTCTTGGGTGAAAGTGACAACCGAGATGGACAAGTCGACAGACGTTTGCGTGCACGAGGGCCAAGCGAGAAAACTGGGCGAACGATGGCAGCAATCGGACTGCGAACACTGCGTTTGCCAGGAGAATAGGGTGGTGTCCTGTCAGGGACCGATGTGCAAGTCCTGCGATAATGCGATTCCCCCTCACCCTGGCGAGTGCTGCCCTCATTGTCCACCGCTTACGAACAAGACGCATCACGAGTCCGAATTATCCTGTCCAAATTCCTTGGAAGGTTGCGAGTTGGTGTGCCAGCGTGGTTACGCCACGGACGAAAATAATTGTCCATTGTGCGAATGCGACGTATCTGAGGTACGTAACGAACGAAGGAACGCTATGCCCTGAAGGTATTTCGCGTGTGTGCAAACACGTGTTGTGTACGTAACTGCATGTGTCCATGTCCGCTTAGTTCGTTGTCATATTTCGAACGTATTTTTAAAATATATATATATATTTCTTTTTCTCAAATATAATTTTTCGATTATGTACGTGGCTTCTCTAAAATGTTGTGCGTTTAATTGGGATAATTATCTCGACACGATTCGAAACGTTTTTCTTTATTTTTTTTTTTCTTTTTTCTTTTCGCTAGAAAAATTTCTTCAAATTTAATTTAAGAATTACCAGCTTCGTGATTCTTGGAACGGAACTGTTACAACGTTTTAATTAATTTATCATTAAGAAATTATCTTGGTGAAGTGGAGGATGTCTTTAATCTTCCTCAAGTAGTAAAAGCACAGTTCCAGAAATTTTCATGGCACTTCTGAATGCAAAAATATCACGGAGATGTTCCGATTATGATGAAGTTTCGATATTTTTATCGAAATCTTCAACATACATGATATATAATAGTAAATTTATTTACTTCTTTAATATGATATTAAATTGATATAAAATTGATACTTGACAAATTCAAACGTCGAAAAAATTTAATGTCCACCAAGATAATAAATGTACATGTACGCATGTCAGAATTATTTATATTGTATTAATGAATCCAATGAAATGTATTGTAACAATGAATCCAATCCCATCCAATGATGATCTCAACTAAACGATGCATACTAAAGACTACAATATAACTAACATATGCTTTACATTGAAGAATTCAATGTAAAGAAATGTAAAGATTAGAGAACTAGCTGAATGTCAGTATTACTTGACTTCCAGAATTGAACTTGTTACCAAATCTACCAATTAGTCAAGAAAATTTACGAGGGATATTACTTGAAGTTTAATTTCGTTAAAAGTTTAACAGATTTCATGTCTAATAAAATTTAAAAACTACATAAAGTAAAAGATTTAAAGTAAAGTGAAGCAAGATTAAACGCGTTACAATAAATGATAATTTTACTCCCATTCGTTCTTCGTGTCACATTACACAGTATTTTTCTAACATATAATATGTAACGTGTATTTTCGATATTTTTTTATAACAAAAATTGCCATTCATTTTGAAGTCCCTCGACAGGCAATACGTTGTTCTATTAGTACGTTCCAACTATTATCACACCTATGCGTGTAGACATTCTTTGAAACATAATTGTATCAAGCCTAAAACGAATAAGCGTAACGTTTGACGAAACTACAGTCATCTATACGTAACTTATACGTGAAAGTAGGATTTGCGTAATCCTTATCATTTATTAATCATCACATATTGAATACAGAAACTTAATTTATATATAATAAAATCTGACTATTTAGTTTTTCACTACAGATGTTAACCTTTATCAATCTTTGATACAATCAAAGGGACAAACCAAGTTGAAAAAAATGAGGAACGAGTTCTCTTAATGCACACGTATAATATTTTAGTACACGTTCGAAACCTACGTCTCTACTATCTTCCAACCCGAGTTCGATCGGCCTCGAATCCACGATACGGTCGTTCTGATTCCAGGACGACGAAACGACGACAACGGAGCATTCGACTATCGACGTCGGATCTTCCAACGACAAGATTTGCCCTAAACTACCAGCACGTTGCGAGCCGAACTGCGAGATTGCGAGAGACGAGAATGATTGCCCGATGTGCGCCTGCCGAACTATAGAGCAATCTACCACCACCCCCGACACTTTGTCGATCGACGATTCATCCGGCAAGAAGATTTGCCCGGAAGTAAAGTGCGACCTGCACTGCGAACGTGGACTGGTGATGGACGAGAACGACTGCACGTTTTGCAAGTGTCGGGAGGAACCAGACTCGTCGAGTTGTCCGCCTTTGCTCGGATGCAGGAAACGATGCGCCTTTGGCTACAAGACGAACAAACGCGGCTGTCCAGTGAGTAGAGGTCTCTTTTCGCTCGTATCTCCGATTTACGGCTCGAATTGGTATTCTCGATATACGATCGGTCGTAGATGTGTCGCTGTCGTGCCTCCTGCACCGACCACCTTAACGGAACGCACCCGGAAGGATCGACTTGGCATCCGAACTCGTGCATCTCGTGCACTTGCGAAGCCGGCGGGAAGCTCAGTTGCAAGGAGACCGTCTGCTCGGTAGCTTGCAACGATCCTCTGCCTCCGCAACCGGGAACCTGCTGTCCGGTCTGTCCAATTACGGTAAGGTTCGATTGAGCGAACTTGGTGCACCTCTCTCGGGAGTGTTCTCACCTCGGTTCTCATTCTCGATCGTTGAATCTGCGGTTTGTTTTCAGCAGCCGAAGGGAAACGGAGCGACCACTGGTCACCATTCAGGAGGCAAGGGCTGGGGCACGGTGCCCATCACGTTGATCGCGATACTGGCGTTGCTTTGCCTACTGCTGATCGTGCACATCGTTCGCGGTCGATTTCGGGCTCGTCTCTCACCGTCCGAGACCTCTTATTCCACCTATCCGCCGCAGTACTACAAATGCGTGCCGGCGTACGACACGCCGGTCCATCGAAACGAGAAAATCGTACCTTTGTAAAAGACTGTCTGACAAACCGGGGGAAAACGCGAGACACAATTGGACGTAATTGGAAGGCGGCGTTTCGGCGCGGCAACCGCCCGTGTTTCGATGGACCGTGTAAGAGAGTGAGAAAGCGAGGAGATCGCCGCCAAAACGGAGTCCAAACGCGGCGTTCTACCGGTTAGAAAATACCATATTGTAGATTCAGTATTATTTGTAAGTAGCGGACGGTTTTTCGATCGTAAGAGAAGACAGTGTTGGGATTTTAGATCGAAGTTCGCGAACCACGGCTGTCGGTACGTTCCCCCATCCCTGATTCGATGCGATGTGTAAATTATAATGTAATGTAGCGTGATCGTATCACGGAGAAAGTGAAGAGAGAAAAACAAGAAAAAGAAAAAAAAAAGAGATAAACGCGCTGACGATAAACCTGGTAGATCCTAAAACGCGATCGAGAACCGTAGAAAGAGAAAAGAAACAGGCGTCTTATAGTCGTAGGTATTAGTTCCCTCGATCTCTGGACCATCGTTGTGTTTCGCGTTGCGCGATCACGATGCACCGCTGTTCCTTGTCGATACTTGCATCATATTTTCCACGGCTTTCCATGCGACTTTCACCCACCTGCACACTTTTTTCTCACCTGGCTAGTACACCTTCACCTTTCCCCGACTTTCCCTCCACTCTCTATTGTGCGTTCTCTGACGAATTCTTGGTCCTATCGATTCCAAGAAAGAGGAAGATGAACGTCGTTGATCCACGTTTCAGACGAATATCTCGAACGATATCGGTTCTTAAAGTGACACGTTCCACCGTGACGAAGAGTTTTGGATTATCTTTGTTTTCGCCCTCCCCCTACTACGCGACGTCTATGCTTCACTTCGCCTACGAAACGTAACGCTTCTGTTGAATTGAATTAGAATCGAGCGTTTTATCGCCGGTCGAATCACGCCATAGACTCGGTTATCTCGCGCTGTTTCCCACCGTGCGAGCACGATTCGTCGAAGGGCGGGAAATTCAGCCGGAGTTTCGAGATTCAGATCGGAATTTCGAACTTTGATTTTCATCCGTGAGCGCGTTCTCGTTCCGTTTCTCTTAGCATATACTTGTACATATCTATCCGAGAATCTACTTGTCCTGTACAATCTTGCCCGTTCCAACGACGTTACTTCACCCCCAAGTATTAACGAGTGTTACGCGTTCTACGGGATCGTTCGTTTGTATCGTGCTCGTTTTTAGACTCGATATCGCGCGGCAACGATAACGACGTAGCTATAACGTAGCTTATTATGTACTTACTGCGAAAGAACGATACTACGAAAGGAGGAACGGAAGAGAAAGCGAGCAAGAGGAAAGGCGAGGTGGTCGCACGCCCCGTAGATGTATGTATAGCTGTATTATAAGAGAGAAAGAGAGAGAAACAAAAAAAAAGGAGATGATTGAAGACGTTTCTGGAAAAAAGTAAAATCTACAAATCGTTTCTAATAAATCGTCACGTGTGTAAAAATGTTCCCCCTAATATTCAACTATACGATTAAGCCGAAATATTCTACGTATGAATTATTGAAATTTTCAAACGCATGAATAATTGAAATTTTTAAACACAAATATATCTGCACAATCGCGTTAAAACAAAAATCAATATTAATTTTCACAAAAACATCCGTATCTTTTCAGCAATTATGCAAAATAAATTTGAAATTCATTGTATTGAAAGAATTGGCAGATCCGTGAAATCGAGTCTCCGTTAAAACAAAAATCAATATTAATTTTGACAAAAATACCCGCATCTCTTCAACAAATCTGAAAACCACTGCACTGAGAGAATCTAAAAATGTTCGCATAATTAAGCCAAAGTATCCTATGATTCACTGCAATTCTCAAACGATAATAATTAAGATAGATGGATAGAATCATACATTCCCTCCAAGGAATCAATAATAATTTTGACAAAAAGTACGAAATCCATTCGACACAATTGAAATACAATCCAAATACACTGAAAAAATAAAAAACTGAAATTTCTGACTCGATTCGTTATATGTCGGCTTGTGGAACCTTTCTCCAGATACGTCCTCAATTCACAGAAACATGGACAAAAGTGATTTCGGACACGAATCGCGCACCTAATCGAATAAAGACCAGGGACTTCTACCAAAACGTAAAATACCGGTATATATTGTACCTTCGTAACCCTTTTGGTACTATAAATTTCGTTGCTATATCGCTTTTGATACAACTGCGTTGACTGAAATAACGTAATTGCCGGTACGATGAAAAATAACACAATATCAAATCCATAGATTACGAAAATGTGACCGAAAAATGTTACCGAGAAGTAAAAAAAAAAAAAAGTATAATGTGCAAACGGATAATATAATACCGGAAATAACGATACGGTCCCTGAGAAACGAATTGGCGCGATGTTCTTCAAAGTCGCGTCGATGTCCGGACGATCGTTGTCGTTGCAACCGCGCGAAACTAGACCGTTGATTTGTTCGAGTAAAACGCAGAAATTTAAAACATATCTCTCTGTGCTTGGACGCGAGCGCGCGCCCGCGCCCTAGAACCTCGTCTTTATCATTCCTTCTCTCCTAAACTTAACGCGTACATATATTTTTCCAATGCGACACTCGCGTCTTACTGTACATCGTCTCTGACCGTCTTTACCGTCTAGTAACGCTAAAAAGAAAAAAAACGAAGAAAACAAAAAAAAACAGAAAAAAAAGAAGATCGTCCGCGTGCACGCGCGTATTGGACGTGCCCGCGCCCGCGTCGTATCTACCGCACGTAGAAACGATCGTCGATCGAAATCGCAGACTGTATTTCGTACGTGTAAATGTACGTTGGAGACAATATGTATCGACGACAGGTTCGTACGATGTTCCCGTGACGCGCTACAGCGACGCGCGAGCCTCAATCGTTTCTCCTTACTCACCGTGTTCTTATCGCACGCGTTTTATTATCCTTAGTGGGTAAATTTCATAAATTTGATATTAGGTTGCTGCGGATGAAATCAAGGTTGCCCGGATTCATCAAACGCCTTTGGTTCGTTTGCAAACGAGGTGTCTCGCGTCGTAGAATCGTTCGCGAGGTGCTACGGACGAGATATCTCGTCAGACAATCGTACGACAAACGAAGTAACTCGCGTGTTTTTTTAACTGATGTATAAGAACTCGAGACATCGACCGATGATTTAGATAGAAGTGAGTTCGCCAAGACACGGCGTTTGTTAATGTAAAAGGGATCGGTGATCTTCGCTATTGCGGACGAGATGCCTTTTAATTTGCAGTCTTTATTTTTTTTGGGGGTTTTTTTTTGTTTTTAAATAGATTTACTAAGTTCAGTTCGTATTTGAAGTAAAGTAAAGTTATAATTGCCTACTACAATTACAAATTTTTAATCGATCATTTTGATGATTGGTTTTATCCTAATCTAACTTTCTCGGATCATTGACAGATTATCCTTTCTCTTAGGATAGCTTTTATTGACATTATTACATAACATAATATATTAATATTATTTAATACCATGTTGTATAATACTATTATTAATATTATTGCCAACTTTTATCGCATTCAATCAAAATTTTAAAGCCCCTTTAAAACACACACTCTGAATGTTGTTTCCTGCGTTGCTAAATCCACACTTTCGTTGCGAAACGATCGACGAAAAGGTCAGTTACGTTATTTTAGCTTTCAGGTAACGAATGTTACTACAACTAGAGAATGTTATTACGCGACCATGAAATTCTGGATAATTTAATAAATCATACGTAACAACCTAATAGAACACGAACGAAAAGAAAATGTCTATCTAGTCCCGTCTTTTAAAGAAGAGAAACAGCGACTGTTCACTGTTCACGATCTTCGACCGTTTCTTAGATCGAGCATTTTGTATTAAAAGGCGAGAAGCTCCTTCTAACGAGGAGAAGGTGAGACCCACATAAGCTCGTGATACGATAATCGTGAAAACGTTTGAAATCCAGCGTAAGAGAACGCTTAAGACACGGTGAGACGAGCAACCAATCAACCAAGGGAGACACGAGAAACGAGTAGCCTCGTGCTTTGCGCGCTCTTTTTGTGTACAGTTTCACCGTAACGAGATGTCATATCAGTGTAACCTAGACTTAAATATTTAATATAACGCGAACTCGTATGCATATTAAAATCGTGCGTCATGTTTAAAAAAATAGCTCTTGTATGTTAAATAAAACGAGACTAAATAAAATTGTTGATATGTGATATATTGTACATGAATGTCCATTCTATAATCTCGTCTGTGACAAAACCTCCTACCTTTCTATTCTATAATGGGCTTCTTTTTGTACATATTTATAATTGTCAATATAGCAAGTTTTCACGTAAGCAAAGAATCTTCAAACGATCAATATTGACAATTGATCGTTTTTACGTATAGCAATATCAAGAACCTTCGAATATTGACGATATACAGAATATTTTAATAAAATTTAACACTTGAGTATCTCCGTTGTTTTCGAAGATATGAAAATATATTGTTGACGAATATCGTTCAATATAGACCTCTTTCGTCCTATAAATTTTGCAAATTTGAAATTAAAATATTCTCAGAATTCATGATTAATTAATAAAATTGATCGTTAATAATTAATTAATGCTTCTTTTTATAGAGAATGTCGATTGGATTAAAAAGATGATAGTGACCGAAATCTACGAAAACCTACCAATTACAAAAAAATTATTACTACTCTATTATAACTCTATCTATACTGAATAACTTTTATCAATATTTTTTTCATATTTTCAAAAACAATGGAGATATTCAAACGCTAATTCCACCCTGTATATTGATCGTCTGAACGCTCCTTTATAAGAGTCCTATAGTTTTCTAACTAACAAAACTATGACAACCATCACCATCAAGGGACTCTATTTGTTATATAATTAATAGCTTTATAAATAATAATTCTACGTACAGTTGTGCAATTAATAATTATATAACAAATAATATAATTGGATTTCTCTCTACGATTCTACCCAACAATTTAATAGTTCGGTATTAGAAAGTTTGAAGAAACAAATTCTCCTTTTGATATTGGTTTGCAAAATATAGTAAAAGGAACTTTATAATTATAATTCTCTATGAGACAATATTTCATATTCGTATCAATATTATAAACTGTTATTACAGTAGAACTCTGTTCATATGAATTCCATTCATTTGAACTAAATTTTAGTAAATATCCAGTTATATGAACTTGCTGGTTGAATTCATTTGTTGCATAAACAAAAAATCTTATTAGTGGACTTCTATTATATGAATTCCACTTATATAAACTCTTTGTTTTACAATAAGCTCATATAAAGTTTTACTATATTATAAAAATGTATAACAATTGATACTTGAAAAGAATTTGAAAGAAAGACGTACATATATTCCAAGAAACATTCTTCTATATCCTTATCTATATATTTCTATATCCTTACATCTAAGCTTACGTTATCCTTATCATACAGTATCCTTTAAATCTATCTAAATATCACTCTTAATTAATTACTATGATAAAACAACCGGCGAATAAAGTGCAAAATTTGGATCAGAGAAAATAAAGTACAAGGAATAGAGAAAAATTTATAATAAAAAAGAAAGAAAACTTTCATAGCTTTAATTCATACATTTTACGAGAAATCATTTAAATTCTTAAAAATGTCTTGAATCTACAAAATTTCTACGACAAATTTCGAATTGGTCGTTTCGACCACTTTGATATTTCTAGTGTTAAATTAATAGTTACGAGTTAAATTAATACTAACGTACGTATTAAGTACAGATTAAAACATTTAGGAAGCAGTACATTGTAACAGTATTAACGAATAGTACTAATACCTACTTATGTGTTAATTTGAAGATAATGGCCTCACCGTTTAACGTAATATAAGCATATCCCACGTAGTTATATATTTAAAACTTTAAAACATCCTACCTGTCTGAAAATCGAACTATCTAGAAAAAAATCTAAAGATTTTTATTAACTCTCTCTACGTAATACCTAAATATAATAATGAAGCAACAAATGGTTATCTTCATAAACTCTATCAATCAAGTTCTAAAGAATTTATTTCTACAAATTCCATCTACACGAAGATCTATTTATAGAGAATCTAAATAAAATGACGGAATGGGATATTATAGTACGCGATGAATCGTAAATAAACGCTGCCACAATTGGAAAATATTCAATGTTGAGAAACTAATATATTTTTAGCAACGTTTCCAATTACAAATGTTGAAAAAGAAAGCAAATTTGTGTACCCAAAAGAACTACCAAATCCACTCAATCTAAACTCGAACAATAAATCGAGAGTGGAATATCTTTTCTGCGTCGCAATATCAGTTTATCGAAACCAGATGTGAAATAACAAAAGTTTCAAAATAAACCAAAGAGTGGTTCGTATATTTGCAACATTAATTAATTTATTATTTAAACAATGATCTTTAAATGGAGAATTTTAATTATTTTTGAAGAAACAGAGAAGCCATAGGCTATGATGAGCATATTCTTCTGACCGCATACATGATACTCAAAATACAGATTCAAATACAGAAATGCATATTTTACACACATTTTATTTAAAAAAACAAATGTATCAATATATACATACAGGGACAAACCAGAAACTATACTACCTACAATATTTAATCCTATATTTAAGAAATGGCAAAAAACAAGACAACACACTGATTTTATGGTTCACACATACAATTAGAAGGGATGCAGGGATTTACTATACTAGAGAAATCGTCTTCGATACCCGAATTTGGCATACAACTTTCACTCTAATTTACATATCATTTCCCCAAACTGACAAAGCGACTATTGTGTAAAATGTGATAAATATACGTATAAATGTATTTCGAGTTTAAATATATTTCAACTCCAAATTCAATGGATTATTCATGACCGTGTTGTATAAATATTCACGTGTGCACATGAACTAATATTATCGTGGTATGAAATATGATACCATATTATTGCGCGCACTTTTCATTAACATATCATTCATTAAGATTAATGATACCGTTATTGGTAATTTGCTGTGTTCATATACTGTGACCATTATTGGTAGTACTTGTGATTAATATTTGGAAATTATATTGCTTGGAATAATAGCGAAAACGACGCAATTCCACATCCTAACCACATACAGACACACAGTGTGGAAATTATGTCGTGCACGGTATTCTAACGCACTATTAATCATTAAGAAATTATTAAACTTATAATTATATATATGATCATTATAATGATCATCATGCACACTGTCTTTCTCTCATATTAAATTACAATATTACAAATATTAAAAATTTGTAATATTTAATATTAAATATTTGTAACATTGCAATATTAAATATTATAATTTTTTTTATATTATAATGTTATGTCAAATATTATAGTGATATTAATGACTAATGCGTTGTTGTTAATATTCAACGAGTGCTGAAAAAAAACCTAACACAGTAACGAAAAGGGCTACTGACAAAGAAAATCTAAAACAGTAACCAGAAAGGCCACTGAAAAAAATCGCGTTATAGTAGCTAGAAGAGCTACGAAAAAAAACATTTATTGTACTCAATACAATAACCAAAAGGGCTATTGTCAAATCAACATTCGACATAAATCCGAGCAACAAACCGCATCTTGTTTCGCAACACTAGCATTAATTGTGAAACAAGAGATTTTCAAAATCAAACGCAAAGAGTGCTTCGTTATATTTAAAACTCCCGAAAGCAAGTACGCAACGCTATTAATTTATGCACTCATATTAAGAAATACGCAACACTAATTACAACGCGTCCAATGTAACTATGGTGGTTGCTGATGAATGGTCACAGCATTTGCAGCTGCATCAAGTGATCCAGGAGCAGGAACAACCTCCCACGAATCCAATGGAAGAATTTGGGCATTTCGTGAACGTAACACTACTTTAGAAAAGAAACGCGATCATTTATTACCGCAACACTAACAATTAGAGGAAATTGGATATCGCGGAAGAATACTAAGAATAAAAATAATTGAAAATCGCGATGAAATAATGTCGCAACACTAACTCTAAAACCAAACTCAATCAAAATTGATATAAATAAACACAAAAGCTACTGTAGAAGAAAAAAAACTACATTGAATATTCTAACATTCTAAAATTAATTGAAAGCAATGAATCTATAATATAATTAAAAATAACAAAACGCAAAATAAATTTACATAACACTAAGCCAACTATGAAAATTAAAAATCAAAACTGCAAAAATAATCGC